ATGGTTATAGAGTATAACTAAATAAATAGAATAGGGTGGGTGTTGATAATGACAACCACTGCTCTAGGCAATGGATTCCTCTCCACTGTGGTATAGAATAACCCTCAGACTTATAATTTCATGTACCAACATTTAATAACTTTCAATTTACTCCCCTTGCCTTCAAAGAGAAACCCTGTTATTCATTTTTGCCTGCTTGTCTTTCCTCTGAGAACTTTCCTCTGAGAATCCTAAAATGACTTTGGTGAGTTCTTTATATGTTCATTTTGTTCTCCCAAAACCTTTGGGTGTCAAGCTTGGTGGAAGTCACCCACCAAGCTCCACATGAAGTTGAAAGATTCAGATTCCAACTATCCTGTTCCTCATCCCGTCCTGAGTTGTGTTGTCTATATTATCAGCATTTTTCTGGTGATTAATGATTAAAAACATTTATATACTTCCCATAAAACACTTCAAAGTTGAAGTGTATTTTAACAATGTTCACTCTGGGCTGTGCAGCAATCCAGATTCAAAGAGGAAAAGGTGAGTAAGAGCCGGAGTCTTTTCCTGGAAAATCCCACGTTCAGTTTAACAAGGTGCTATTATTTGGAGCCTACGTGTGCTCCAAATCATATTTTCCCTTTGAATCCAGCCTTAGTTAAAAAAGCAAATACAAAAGCATAAAATGGAGAGGAAAAATAAAATAATAAAATCAAATAAAATCTGTCTCTACCAATTACACAGCTTAATAGCCAAGAATGTGTGGATTCTGTATTAAGTTATAAAAGCAGTGTGGGTTCACTACCTGGCAAAGGCTTGATCATCTCATCAGCACCCCTCTTTGTCAAGGTACAAGATTGAGCTATTGTTTGGAATGACAATTAGCTGTCACGGAAATGAGTTGAACTCGCTTTGTGCCTGTGCCTTCTGGCAAAAACATTCTTCATTCATGTAAGAGTCATAGTGTTGGATTCCTGCAGGGATAGGAAATCATTTTGAATTAGTGGATGCAGTCAAAATGCTGACAGCACGGTTGGGGAATGATTGCCATGGCTTGCCTATTAACAAAATGGTGCTACATTGAGGTTGGCGAGTCATAAAACATTCATTTCCTTGAAGAGAAATTAGGGAGGGGGCTACCTAACCGTACAGAATGATCTCTAGTACCCCATCTTACTTTTGGCATTTATTTAAAGGGTAGGCACGTTTTCAGACATAGCACTAGGCTGTTGTCACCCATAATTTTGCTGACCTTTGGATTACTGACTTATTGAAGCAGTTGGTACTTTTTCAGACACATCTCAGCTGGAAAAGAGATGCAGGTGCTTAAAAAAAAATAGCTGAGAGGTGCAGTACTCATGCGATTTCCAGACCATTTCTTCAGAAATTTTCAAAGAGTTTTCAGCCTACTACTATTATCTAATTTTTCAGGATTTTCTGGCCCCAATTTTTTAAAAATGTCTGTGGCCCTGCTACATCATGTATCTGATAAAATGGGATGTAAGTCCACTGAAGTTTATTCTTCAATACATTTTTTGGTGTTTTAAAGTGCCACAGGATTCTTATTCTATTGTAGAGGGAAAGGCCTTGAGGGACAGGAGGAAGAGCCAATACCAAGACAAGGATCAGATAAAAGAAGGTTGAGTCTGGGGCAGAAATGTAACCTGAGAAAACGTCTCAGACAGGACCCTCCCTTATTCTCATGAAGATAAAGGGAGGGAGGGGAGAAGTATATTCAGGCTTGCAAGATTCTGTTACTATATCTTTACAATAAAAGTAGTATTGGCCTGCAGTTTAGTTTCCTGGTCTAGTCTACCTTGAAGTGCTGACACTACGGCAGCAAACATCTACTTTTCAGGAGTTTTCTCTACAACCATAAATCTTCTTTTTTAGATCTTTATGAGCAACTTTATGTGACTTTGGTCTCCCAAGAGCAATGATTTCTTCCTTCAGATTTAACAGCTGCACTATACCTCAGCTTCCCCTGCTCTGCCCCTTTTCTTATCTCTGTTAATATATAGCTGTTAACATACAGCAGATGTGTTCATGTGTCAGCTGATCACCACTGCAAATGGCTTCAACTCTCCTTGCATCTGTAAATCCACAGATCACAGTCCCTGCCCTGATGGTCACTGCTGGGAAGGACAGGGTTCTCAGTCCAGGCTTGAGCAAGCACATGGAGGACTGGGTGAGTAACATATGTGCTGGCCTGATCCTTTCCATAAATAAGCAAATATAATAGGTCAGTGGGCAGGACCATGTCTCTCCACACTGGATTATTTTATTTCACTGGAAATCAATGGAGGTGAAGATTACTGGAGGTGCTGCAGCCATTCAAGGGCAACTAATTACCTTTCCTCCTTTAACTCTGTTTTGAGGTTGGCAGATTTGAAGATCATTCACTGCTTTTGAAAAATTGGGGTGTGGAAGCCATGGTGATGTGGAAGTGCCCTTTATCTCCTGGTTTCTCTTCTCACAAAAGTCACCCCAACTTTTCATTTTGCTGTATTTTAATTTTGTTATTGTGTTTAAGAATCATCCAATGGAATAGCAAACTCCTTAGTGGTGAAACATAGGCTTATGTTTCTTGAGAAAGGGAAAAGCTCAAGAATACCACTGAATTAGCACTGCACACAAAAGGGCCCCAGGGTTGCTTGTCATCTCATTGCAGATGCTGGGGCACAACTCTTGACTAAAATTTCTTGCCAAAGCTGAGAGACCTGTCCTGTTTCACGAAGCAGCAAAATGGTTTCAGTTGGCCATGACTTCTACCTTTTTCTCCTTCTAGATTCCACATCTGACTCGTGGTCACATTGAAGAATGTGGCCACTACACACAAATGGAGAGGTAAGTAGTGTTAAGAGCTAAGTTGAAGGAGACAGATTGTTTTACATGGTGTAAATAATTTATTCTAAAATGCATACCTGTAAAAAGCACATCAGCTGATTGTTCTGTGAAGGGGAAAAAAGGCTGCTGATATTCATTGTTAAATAGTCTGCATCAAGTTCCCTCCAAACTCAGAGTAGGTATTCTTGAGAAATTTAATTTCTGGGAGGTGTGGGGTGTGTTCCAGTATGAATCAAATTGATCTGCATCTCCAAAATTATACAATGATGATAACTTAAGTTATTCACTGGCATTTTGGGTTCCTGAATATTCTGATTCAATCTTCAGCTCAAAAAACATGCCCTAATGTTTTTATAAATGTGCATTTTGAGAGAGACTTGATTTAGAAATGCCTGTGTGAATACATTTTAAAACATATATTTATTTAACTGTTTTTTATTAAGAACTTTAATTACAATAGTAAAAACTAATACAAACTAAACTTAGACCAAGAGAAGAGAATGGAAAGAAAGAATAAAAAGTGCAGGAAAAAAAAAAGAAACAAGAAAAAGAAAAATATATAAAGAACTGACTTCCAACCTTCATCACAAGAAGTATAATTCTTGACCCCCTCTAAGGTTAGAGACAGATATCCTCCCACATCCCATCCCTTATCTATAAGCAAATCCATAAAATATCAGCTTAAAAGGGATCGGGATGCAAATGTTACTGGTTCAGGGATCCAGTTTAAGGCAGCAGAGGTTATTAGGAATGGGAAAAGAATTCCAATGGTTTTCTTATGTACAATTAAGAGAAAGATTTCAAGTAGACAAAAGAACATTTGGAATTGAACAACACAAGACAGAATTTGAAACTGAATGATGTGGAAATGATAAACATGTAATTGCTAAAATGTATAAGCTTTTACTGAAATTTTAAACAGAAGAAGAACAAGTGAAAGAGTGTATGATGAAATGGGCTAAGAACTTTGGTTATAATATACAGATGGATCAATGGGAAAATATGTGGCTGAAATTCACATTATTGCTATAATTTAAAAGATAATTTTTACAAAATGATGTACCATTGGTATATGACACCAGAAAAACTTTCTAGAATGTATGAAGGTACTTCAAATCTGTGTTGGAAATGTGGAAAACATGAAGGTCATTTCATCATGCTTGGTGGACTTGTAAAAAGGCTAGAAAAAATTGGATTCAAATACAGTGGTACAATTTTTTTTAAAGATTAACATTCAACTGAAACCAGAACTTTTCTTGTTGGGACTAATGGGCAGACAACTAGAAAAGACCTACGGACAATTGTTTTTGTACATGGTAACTGCAGTGAGATTATTATGTGCACAAAGATGGAATGACACTGAAATACCCACAGTGGAAGAATGGTTGGTGAAGATGACCGAATTTGCAGAGATGGCCACCAAAAAGTGATAAAGGTTCCTCTTTTCAGAGCTTAGAACTGTTTAGTGTTGCTGAACACATCAAATTCTTGGTTCATCTAATCTAAGACTAAGATTTCCAAGGTTTTGAACAGAGATGTGTGTGTATGTGTGTGCAAGTAACCAAGCATGTAAGCAGAGTTACAGATCACCCAAACCTTACCAAAGTCTTCTATGTGTTGAGCCATTCTGTGCCCCTGTGTGCAAAGTGATGCTTTATTTATGCCATAAAATCTTTTGTCTTGTCATCTCTACCCCTTTCCTGCTCTATTGTTCACGTGCTTTTTATAAACTGCCATCATCTTAATGTCATGGCAGTTGTTTTTTTTAAAAAAGAAAAAAGTGCCATGAAAAAGGCCATTAGATGAGATACTGGCTAAAATTACATAATTACATTTCAGCAGCGTTCCTGCACAAAAGATGATAAATTCAAATAGAGAATGAATAAATTGCAGTGGGAAGATGAATTATTTTAGTTCCTCGTAAGAATCAAAAGTGTCTTTCTCCCACACTCCACATTTTACAACATGCCTTAAAGTCTTGCCAGTTAAATGGAATGGAAAAATATGCTTCCAAATTTATGGAGTGAGTGGGTGAGGCAGCAGTAGGGACAAACTGAATGGTAAAGGGCATGCACCTTTATTGCCACCTAGGCAGAAATACCAAAATACTGCACATTTAGAGATGGGTGCCTTTAAAAAAAAAAAGATTGATTTGACTAGAATCACACAGAGTTGACAGAATGGACATTTGATTGTTCTTGTAGTTCTTTTTAGCTTCTTTTTATCTTGACACTTTCTCTGTAGTGCCTATATTTGGCTAAGGACTTTCTACAAAAGAATCTAGGCAGGCTTCAATACTACCAAGCCTTGTACAGGTAGTCCTCGCATAATGACCATTCGTTTAGCGACCGTTCAAAGTTATGACGGCACTAAAAAGTTACTTATGACTGGTCTTTGCACTTACGGTCATTGCAGCGCCCCCCCCTCCCTTGGCAACCAGCTTACACTTATGATGGTTGCAGCATCCCACAGTCACATGGTCACCATTTGCAACCTTCCCAGCCAGCTTCCTGCAAGCAAAATCAATGGGGAATTGCATGATTCACTTAATGACCACATGATTCACTTAACCGTGGTGATTCATTTAATGGCCACTGCAAAAAAGACGTAAAATCAGGTGAGGTCACATGATGTCTTGCTTAATGACCACCCCATTTAATGAATTTTCCAGTCCCTGTTGTGGTCGTTAAGCGAGGACTGCCTGTATATGTATAGATCTAGCTTAGAATATATGGCTGGTAAATCTCTGAGAAGTACTTCTTCCAATCACTTGTCCTAACTGAAAGAGTTTAATAGGGATCAGCACCTATCACATGGCTTGCTTTATTTCTGTGAAGAGATTTCCTTGGCTGGTATAGTAAGTCTTCCTGCAAGACTTTCTTTTAGTTATAGCTTGCTGGATGGTAGGGTGCAGGCCAAATCATCATAGGGTCAGAAGTGCTAGGCAGGGTAGCAAATCCCATGCCTCACCCTGAAAAGAATTAAATCATTTAACTTTAGAATTCAGAGGAAATCCAGGGAGAAGCAGTGAAGGACCATTTCTGTTTGGGCCTAGAGAGCTGGGCATATATAGATTCTGTGTAGAAATGGACAATCAGGCAGATTTTTGAGAGCTGTGGCCAGCCAGATGACTGAAAGTTGGATTACATCCAGGGCAGTTTCTTATATTGGAGCTCAAAAGCTAGCATATTTATGTTAATGCAGAGATAATATGTTGAATATGTTAATACAGAGATAATGCAAAAGCCTAAATAATAATGTTCCAGACTTGGTGTGGCCAGATATTTTCCATTCCTGTCTCTTCTCTGCATCTAACATTCAGGGTTTTTGTTCTGAGGATCACATAAGAAAAGGCTTACTTTTTATACCATTTTGAGTTTCCAGAGGAAAGGCAGGGTGTAAATGTAATGCAAATCCAAATTCAATCTAAATACTGGTAGCACATTCAGAAAGGGGAGTAGAGATGGCATTTTCTTGCAATTTTGAGCAAAACATGTCCTTCATTTTGATAATGGTTTATAAAGCAGTGGCTGACTGGGTCATCTGAGAGTTGATGTCAACTCATCTGGAAGGATACAAGCAGAAAGTTGGTTTATAATTCAGTTTTCAGTCACCACAGTGGATCAGAGTTCTTGTTCTTGTATATCCTGTTTACTTCTCTGGGTGCATGAGAAAATAGCCCAATAAGCTTGCGATGAATTTGCAAAATGTGACTTGGCATTCATTTGGGTTCTTTGGGCACTAAATTCAGATTTCCCTCTGTATGAGTGTCTGCGTGCACAAGTGCTCACATTGCAAAATACTTGCCTTGCCAACCTGTATTTTCTCTGCAGGCCTGCAACTTTGAACAAAATCCTGATCGAATGGCTGGAAGGTGTTCACAAAAATGCTTCACTGCAAACAACTGCCAAGCTTTGAACAGGACTTCAGCTCCCATACTGGCTAAACTATTACCTTTCATTTTAGGAAGGAGAAAGGAATTCATAAGATAATTGATTATGGAGCTCTCGCAGTGCTTTTGGAATTGAAATATATTTTCTGATTGATGCTTAAAAAATTGTATGCATTAGAAGGGATTAGTTATGATCAACATAAAATGGACTTTAAAAAATAACCTAAACAGAATGCTAAAATCATATAACCATGAGAGGTTTTGTTATCCTTTGATCTCTATTCTTTTGACTGCTGGAACCTTATCAGTGTCAAAAAGAGAGAGAGAGAGAAAGGGAGAAATTATAAGAAAATTCTCAGTGGCTCACACATCATTTGGACCAGTTATAGTTTCCCTGACTTTTTGGAACCAAGTTTGAGCCCTAGTTTGTGGGAAGCTTGAATCACAGCTTCCCAATTCAGATGACTCTGAAACTGATTTAACAAACTCGGGATGTGTCTTTTGAAGCAGGCACAAGGCAGGGCAAGCACGTTTGATTAATGCTCGGATGGGGAATGGGGTCGCTCTCCAGATGTTGATATCTACAATTCTATCATCATAGACCTTTTTGACTGGCGGATGGGACCGAAGAAACCTCTGGAGAGTCCTATGTTTCCAAATTCTGGTTTGCTGTCTGAACTGGGCTTAGATTTCTAATTGTAGTATTCAGTTTAGCTTCATGATTATGAACTTTCACCCCTGGGCGGGACACATGTATATGCTTTGTGGCAGTTAGGGTTCCTTTCTGGAAAGATACTATCAATCAGAGTTTTTCAGATTGTGTTCCGTGAAACCTTAGGGTTCCACAAGAAATTGATCGGGTTCTGTGAGAGACTAAGGACAAAAAAAAGTTTGTTCAAACATGGCCAGTTTTCTATCACTGGAACCTCTGGGATTTCCTTTTTTTTTTTTTTTTTAAACAAGTTTTGGCTGAAGAAGTTTGATCATGCCAAATATCTACTACTCGGTCAAGCACCTGTATTTTTTCCTGGGATCACATGGAGAAAAGACACAGCTCCTTCAAAGAATTGCAGATTCGTTTGTATTTCTGCACATTCTGTCCCCGCTTTTGGGAATTGAACCTGAACCTGAATAAGTAGAATAAAGTTTTGCAAACAGTATTCTTGTGCTCTTGAATAAAGCTTTGCTGCAGAGAGAAATGGATCTATGACACAGGAAAAGCTTTCCCATTCATTCCTGGAGGCAGTTTCAGAGATTTACTGGTGACTTTAGAGCAGTGTTTCTCAGCCTGGGCAGCTTGAAGATGTGTGTGGATTTCAACTCTCAGAATTCCCCAGTCAGCCATGCTGGCTGAGGAATACTGGGAGTTGAAGTCCACATGTCTTCAAGTTGCCCAGGTTGAGAAACACTGCTTTAGAGCATAGTATTTGAACATCCTGGGTTCTTTCAGTGTCTGCTTTCTTACATCCTGTGGTGCTAAGTCATTATGATGATGCTTTGCCTTTGACTTAACTTCTGTCTGTCAGACTATATGGGACCAAAAGCAAAGCTTCTGAATTAAGTATTCCTTTTGCCATCAAAGTTCTTTTCCGAGGCCTCTAGCAATCTGTTGTCTTTCTGCTGGAGTATTTATTATGCAAGATACTTAAATCATAAAATGAACAGTGGGGCCAGAAGGTGGCAGAGTTGACACTAAGTTATATTTCATTTCAGCAAAGGATCACAACTAATACAGCGTCAAAAGATTGAGGGTACAATCTATCAGGCATGCACACAGTAAATAATACAAAACTCAAAACTCAAACTGGAGTTCATATGTTGGCAGTTCTATGTTCTGGCCCTAATTTGAATTTACCCAGCTGCCAGTTCAAACAGGTGAGGGGTACCCAGGTTAAAGGCCCATTCCATAATTTTGCACAGTAATCTGGAGGTATTGTGTATGGTGGACAGTCTTTTCACATGCCATGTTTGGTGTCTTGTCCATCAAGCTGAAGGCTACTGGGAGAAATAAATGCCGATGATGGACAAAACAAAAACATTAGACATCTTTCAAACTGCAGTGTGTGTTCAGCATTGTCACCCAATTTAACTTTAGCCACATCTCAGAATCTCTTTTGTCAACTGAAGGACATGTACACACACATGTTCGCTTGTGGTTACTATAAGTGTCAAGATGCATGCACAAAGTTCTTCAGAACATTGTAAGTGGAATTTTCTTTGCACTGGTCACCTCAAACATTTGTTTTCAAGGCATCAAGCAATGAGACCTTAAAGTCAGATTCTTTAGATCACTGCTGGTGAACACTGCCAGGTGTTTGTTGTGACTATCATCCTTTGATATCCTTGTAATGCTTGTCTTCAGGTGGTGGTTAGATACATTTAGTGAACAACAGATCATCAGGCCCAGTGCCTAATATATCCAGTCCCTTTTTTGTGGACCCTTCAGCCTCTACTCACTAATGCTGATAAAATTGGACAATGAAATAAACAGTTTTTCAACAACTATCATGAAAAACAATGTGTGTTAAGCCACCAACAAGCTTGATAAATCTGTTTTTAAAAAGTGAAGGGAAAGTCAGCAGGCCTAAGAATGTTAGATTTAATTCCTCCAGTGATGTCAAAGCTATATAGGGTACAGGCAAATTGGGGGGGAGGGTGTTGAATTTTCATGCAGGCATAGAGGAACATTGGTTTGAAAGCGATCAGAACAGTAATGACAGGATAGTTACCAGTTCATTCACCAATGGGGATGGGGGGGCACTAAAATTTATCTCTCCATTCTGCTTGTCTTTCCCCAAATGGGAAAAAATAGGACAATCCAGAATCCTTTTTTCTGCAGCTAGCAAAACTGGAAAGGATGAAAAAGTTTGGTTATATATATTGGTTTGTGGGAAGGGGGAAGAAAACTCTTATCCACCACTTCTGAGGAGTCAGGTGGAGCCAGGAGGAAGAATTAAGACGTGGAATGTGGTACACAAGTGGAGAAAATCTGGCTTTCCATGGTCAGGTGGGGAATATGAAGATCTTACATCCAATCATGGGGGACAGAAAAAGGGAAAGAGTAAGTCATTCTCTGCCTTTGGGATACTTACGCTGTTTGTGTGCACATAAGCACAAGTCATAAGATGAATGGCTGCTGGAGCTTGCCCACTGAGAATAAGTGGAATATTTACCTGGCTCCCCTGAAATGGGAGGCCTGATACCTCAGATTATTCCTGTTAAGTGAAGGCTATCTCCATCCAATGAAATGGTTGATAGGAAGCAAAAAGGGAGAATTACACTTGGGGTGATGGGTGAATATGCCTTCTGGGAGTGTTGACATGAAAGGGAAAAGTTGAGAGCCAGTTTGTTCTAGTGGTTAAGGCACCAGGCTAGAAACCAAGAGACACTGAGTCCTAGTCCCGCCTCAGGCATGAAAGCCAGCTGGGTGACTTTGGGCCAGTCACTATCAGCCCAACCCACTTCACAGGGTGGTGGTTGTGGGGAAAATAGGAGGAGGAAGGAGTATTAGGTATGTTTGCTGCCTTGAGTTATTTA